GATAGATAGATTAGATAGATAGATAGATAGATGATAGATAGATAGATAGATAGATAGATAGATAGATAGATAGATAGATAGATAGATAGATAGATAGATAGATGATAGATAGATATAGATGATATAGATATAGATAGATTATATATAAATGAACTATAACTTTGGTTTTATAGTGGTTTTGAATGAAATTTCCTTACCTCAAATTAAAATGTATTTACTCAATTAAAAGTTCTAAGCAAAGATTTATTGTGGATGTAACTATTATAAAGTAATAAAGTGGCTCTCTCTCTCTCTCTCTCTCACACACACACACACACACACACACACACACACAATGTTTTCAGAGAGATGGCTGTGTTGCATCAGTTTTATTCTAGCATAAGTTTTTGTTGAACATTTTTTTCTTCCTAACATATTCCTTCAAATACAAGGTCCTTATTCATTTCAAGATTTCACAGTAGTAGTACACAGTTGTTGCACATACTTTTTTGACAATATAATATAATCTACTTAATTTTGATATGTCATTATTATAGCTTCTTCACTATATATTGTAAGTTGTAAGTTTATGAATGGCCATCAAATCAGAATTGTAAACAGGCACTGCTTAGACTTGTGGCTTTGTTCATCCAAACTAATAGGCTATTAATGATGCCTATTATTGGTGCCATACTGAAAAATCTGGGACAGCACTTAGAAAATCTGCACCTTGACAAAGCTTCCATCTGTCAATTGCAAAAGGCCACCTTGCTTGGATCCCCACATATATTATAATGATCCGTTACGAATCCTAGATTCTTGGGAAGAACATGATGTATATGAACACCAACACCAGTTAAAGAACTGGCATCTGTGACTTCACGTCTTGAACAGTAATTTATTTACTTAGCGTATGGCATGTGTTAGCCAGGGATCACCTAGTCAGCTGACTGCCTCTTTGAAAGGATTTTTTTTTCAGGCAGTGTTATCTTTACCCACTGGACGCCTGAATGCCAGTAGGCAATCGGGGGGGGGGAGGCTCATTTCTTGTCCCTTCCGCGGTTTATTCGCTCACGGAAATCGTACCCAAGAGCTACCAACCTCAGTGGTGCACAGGTCTAGCGTCTTACCAAATGAATCATATAATGTAATAGTAATATATTAAATTTATATGCCATACTTATTGCTTTCAGGTCACTGCTTAGAATAAAGAAAAAGCAAAGTATATTCTGATATTATGAGCCAACCATAATACCTTATAAGAAATTACTTCCAACTTCATCACAACAAGCAAAAATAATTTTAGTAAAAAAGATAGTAAAAAAGTATTTTAAAATACAGTAAATTATCTCACATCTATAAACAAATCCTTAAAGCCTCTTTGTTCAGTCATAATAAGGAAAATTCCATTAAGGATTATCAGAAATAACAACATAGCTGTTTTAACTTTGATCAAATAAATGTTATATTTCTTTAACTTATAACAATCTCGATCTTTAATATGGCCAGTGTAGCACATTTTCCCATATCATTTTTGTAGCTTGTCATTTTTAAAACCACTTTCAATTCAGTCTCAGTTTTATTCTTCTTCCATAATCTTTTAAACTATCTACTATGGAAAACATCCTTAAAATTTACTTCAAGATCTATTTTTCAGAAATCTCTGTCAATATATCCAATGTTAAGGACAATTTTAGTCCATTCTTTATGACTAAATCAAATTTATTGTTTTTTAATTGTAATCTTTAATTCCATGTAGTTCCCTCTAGTGTTCAGCCTTCAAAGTCTTTTTTATTTTATTTTAACAACAGCATTTCCCCAAAGGAAAAATTCTTATAACTAATTTCAAATCCTATTTCAAATTTCCTTTTTTTCCTTTTTATGAATTTAAATCATAACTTTGTTTTTAGTTGTATCAAATGATCCAGCCAAAATTTAAGACCAGAGAAATAAATTTCCATGTAGGGAAGTAATTAGTCGTACATAGAGAGTTGAAGAAACTGCTGAGCATTTTTTACATAAACTAAATTCTCCAACATAAAACATTAAAATAATAAAGGTTAAGATTATTAATATTTCATTAATTTCATTAATCATTAAATTGACTTAAAATGAACAAACATGGCAAGAGAGGGAGCAGAATACACACAGGATGGAGGTGGTATCTTATCTCAGTCCATTAATTACCTTCAGTATGATATGTTCCTATCAAAAGTCCCAGGCCATTTGGCCAAGCCAGATTTCCAGGCTCTTGGAAGGTCAACAACATGCTACATGAGGAGGAATGATGTTCCAGAGGGCAGGAACCATGGCAGAAAAAAATGCTTCTCTGCCAGCCAACTTTTCTTGACTGCCGGGGTCCTTCAGCATCCTATTCCACCTGTCCAATGTAGGTGGGGTGGGCCAGTTCATTGGGAAAGACAGTTATTTAGGTTATCTGGATCCATGCCATAAAGGGCATTCAATCCATGCCATAAAGGGCTTTAAAGGTAATAACCACACCTTGAATTGAACTTGGAAGCAAACTGGCAACTAGTGCAGCTTGTGCAACAGCAATGCAACATCGCCCTAGTAGTCCTAAGAACTGTCTTTGCAGCTGCATTCTGTACTAGTTATAACTTTCCAAATCTTCAAAAGTACCCTCATGTAGAGAGTGTTGCTTAGTCCATAATATATAAAAGCATCAGAAATTCTATTAATCCTTCTCTGGTAAAACATCCATGTTTTTTGGACTACTATCAGGGTGTATAGATCTCAGGGGGATCTCATTCCAGAGAGTAGGTCCTACCACAGAGAA